GGGCCGCCCAAAAGCCCCCGGTTTCGCCACGCGGCACATGACGGGCGGGCGGGTGGCGCGGCCCGCTCGTCACCGCTGCTCCTGCGCGGGGGGGTTCTCATTCTTCTCTTTTTGGGGTGGTTTCCTTCCTGCAGCTTCCTCCACTTGGCGATTATTCACGTAGAGAAAGCCCTGAGCCTGGAGGTGATCCGGCAGACGGCCGGCGACCCGGCCTTCCTCAACTTCCAGAACAACCTCGGCCAGGTACTGGTCTGCGCCTGCCACCACCGCCCCGCTGAAAAGGCTCTTTATTTTTTTTCATGGATATGAAATCAAAGCCTGCGCTCAGAAAGGCACCCAGCCGACTCCAGTCAGTGTTAGTGTGACGCTTCCTCTCACCAGCACTGGCATTTAATGCCTGCGTTTTTTAAATGTGATGCAGTGGGTCGCAGCCCTCTTCATTGTCACGTTGGTGATACCCTTCATATGACTGTTTGATATCTGGAGAGCTCAGAGTTCATCGCTTCCAGACAAGAAAGCAACTGTGCGATATATCAGGAAGCATAGCAATACCCTGTGTTTAGGGGGTTTGGTTTTAATTGGGCAGAAATCACCAACTGATGGAGGGTCTGCTTGTTCAGACGCTGCTGCTGCTGCTGTGTGCCATGTTTGTAGTGTCACTTACCACCCTGCGGTTTCCCTTTTGTCTGCAGACTCCGCTTCACCTGGCTGTTATCACTGATCAACCTGAAATTGCTGAGAATCTTCTGAAGGCCGGATGTGACCCAGAAATTAGAGACTTCCGAGGAAACACACCGCTCCATATTGCCTGTGAGCAGGGCTCCCTCAGAAGCGTCAGCGTCCTCACGCAGTACTGCCAGCAGCACCACCTCCTCCCTGTCCTACAGGCAACCAACTACAATGGTACGCACAGCCTGCTGCACCAAAATGCCAGTATGCTGTATTGAGGACAGGGTTCTTGTCCTGTAGATCTCAAAGACCTCTGGAAGGGTGGAAAAGGTTGAGGAAGCCAAAGTACATAGCAGGGTCTGATTTCCTTGGTTCGCTTATAGGCCTCCTTACTGATGATCATTGGCTGCCATAACTTTAAGCTCTGTGTTTTTAATGACTACTTTTGCAAAATTTAATTAACTCTGAATATTTTATTTTGAGTGTTTCTATTTTTTGTTACAATAATTTGGAGTCAAACACTGAAATAAAGATAAGGCCTCGAAGAAGTCTTTCCAGAAATCTTTCCAAAAATCTTTCCCTGTTGCCCATACGTATTGGAAGTTGGAAGACTTTCTTGGAAAACACCTTTTTGCCCTGGATAAATTGCAATTATTCTGTCCTCCTGACTTTAAGTGAAAGATAACACATTAGATAAGAATTACTCAAATTTTGTCTTACTTTGCATTTTACAGGACACACATGTCTCCATTTGGCATCTATTCAAGGGTATCTGGCTGTTGTTGAATATTTGCTGTCCTTAGGAGCAGATGTAAATGCTCAGGTATGTAATTTATCTATGAATTTAGCTGAACAGGGTTGTGTGGTCATACGAATCAGCAGTTCTGACATGGGCAAGCCTGGCTCTCCTAACACGAAACATCTTGGGTTATTTTCATACAGGAGCCATGCAATGGCAGAACTGCACTACACTTGGCTGTAGACCTGCAGAATTCAGACCTGGTGTCACTTCTGGTGAAACATGGGGCAGATGTGAATAAAGTGACCTACCAGGGCTATTCCCCGTATCAGCTCACGTGGGGAAGAGAGAACTCCAGCATACAGGAACAGCTGAAGGAGTTGACCACAGCTGACCTGCGACTGTTGCCAGAAAGCGAGGACGAGGAGAGCAGTGAATCGGAATCTGAATTCACAGAAGATGAAGTAAGTAGCTATTTGCACCTTTTCATAGGAAGGGCCAAATTCTGCCCTTTCATACGTTTAAGTTGTATTTTTTGTTGGTGCCCTCATTACATATGGGTGACCTCTTACCTATATAACATACAAGTATAAATATCCCCATAAAGTAAGGTTACAATGTCAAGCGTTGGAAGTAGGGCATTTGGGCCAACGTATGAATAGAATGAACGTAAGAATAAAACATTAAAAAACCTTAGGGAATGGAGATTAATTTCGCAGAGCATGATTCTCTGAACATTGTCCTGTTGCTGATACTGACAGAACCTTGTGACATAAAGTTTCAGTTAATTTCTCCTCCCCACAATTTATTTTTCTAACATTCTCCATGCTGTAAATTGCAAATGATAGCAAATGTAACCATTGCTGTGTAGAAATTTCACACGCTACTGAAGTCAGGGCAAGCAGAATTTAGCTGTTCTCCCTGAGTAGATATGATACTCGCAGTAAGAGTTTTGCATTAACAGCATTTTGGGATTTTTTTTTTTTTTTTCTCCTTATAGCTTATGTATGACGACTGCCTTATTGGAGGACGACAGTTGGCATTTTAAAGCAGAGGTTTCTGTGAAAGGAAGTGACTGTGTACATATGTATAGGAAAAGGACTGGCATTCTTCATTTAAAAAAAAAAAAAAAACTGTGGAAAAAAAGTACAGAAATACTACACTGCCCAGCAAGAAGCACTTAATTGTAACAGCAAGGTTCCACGTTCTGTCCTGTGTTTACATGACAGGAGTGTGATATGTAACATCACTAGAAATCTGTGATTATTAACACGACTTGATAAGGAACCCCGTATCCAAAATTATTAACAGTATGAAGAAAACAAGGCTAGAGATCCAGCGTACTATTTAGAGAAATGCATTCAAGAGCTGTCTGTAGATGTTTAATACTACGAGGAATACTTGTCCACCCATGACAAGATGGGCTCATATAAGCGTCCCATCTTCTTGGAAATTGTTTCTTAGAGTTCTGTTGGGCTGGTGATACTTCACCTTATTGACTGACCTCAGCTGCTCTGTGGGGTATAGCAGACAGAGGATCAACCAAAGGAATGACCTCTTGGCTGTTATGAGAGAGGTAGCAGTCGTGTTAACTGTGGGCATTGGAAACGATGTGTTTCACACAATGTGTGTCATAATTGCTATACTTTTTAGCAATTGTATAGCTTGTAAATACTGTATATTTTGTTTATAATTATTTTGGTACATGTGAGATGTATTTATTAAAAAAAAGTCAAATTACTGTGTCTGGTCTGTGAAATGATTCATTGTCCACCTCGTCCTGAGCTATGTGGGATCCACGTGGTTAGTTTTAAGAAACAGTTAACACCTAGTAGACCTGTAGGCTTAGATGCTCTTGGGGTTTTAGGTGGTTCACTTCAGTAGGAATAAGGTGTCTGTATAGCTTTGGGCTCTCCGCCGTTCCCCTGCAGCTAATTTTAGAAATACATGTAGGTGTAATTTCCTGTGCCCTTTGTCACGGGCAGGGAGGGGGCTGGGATTCCCCCTCTGTCACAAGTGTCAGACTGCTTAGCCTATAGAAAGATCTGTGACACTATTTAGTAGCAACCTCCTGCCTCCCTGGTACCCTCTGTTCCTGGCCCTGTGGCCCCATGCTGCCGCAAGAAAGGGCCACAGAGCCACCCGGGTGCTACCGCACAGCGGGGGAAGCCCAGTGCCTTCTTACCGTGACTTGCGTGGGGTGTTCGGAGGTTTGCAGAGCGGTCCCATGCCTGGCTTCTCTCTCATTTATCACAGAGCCCCGCTCCAGTTTGAACTTGGACAAACAACAGATTTTCCGAAGGGGATTTCCACAGGAAGAGGGGAGTGCAGGCCATGGAACAAGTGCTGCCTTCTTCCACCCCTGAAATTCAGGCATTGGGCCTCCCCCCTCTCCTCCCAGCTGCAAGAGTGACAACTCTCATTGTCCAGTCTGCAGTGGTGGACTAAATTACCTTAACCTATTTAATTATTTCTGGGTGTTTTCCCAAGCTTTAACGCAAACAAAATAATTTCACTCAAATTTCCATCTGTATCTGATCATCTTTTGGCATTGTGTTGCAGAGTAGGACTAATTTTTACTCTGTCCACAGACAGAGGATCGTTATGTGATCGCATAAAGAATCAATTGAGTGAAGCGTGATCATGCCCTTTTCCCAGCCTGGGTTACGTGCCCCTTCCTCCTGTGCTGTAACCCCCTGGACCAGGATGGGGTGGAGCAGAGCTGCTGACGCAGAACCAAGCTCTGCCAACAAAGTATTCACCAGGGGACTTCTGTGCTGCTGGCCCATGGCCAGACCCTAGCTGCTGATGAAGGCAATGATTCCAGATTGTATAGAAACAGCCAGTCCCTTTTCTTCAAGTGAGATCCTGGCTTTCTTTTCTCTTCCTGAGGGGTTTCTGACACATGAGCTGCTATAAGGAAGGCTCTTACGGAGGGCTGTTTGGTATGAGGAAGAGCACCTCAGCAGGCTGGGCTCTTGCTAATTTGCATGGGAGCCAAAGGCCATTGTGGAAACAATTATATAGAAATTGTCATCCTGAGTCAGTTTTATTTCCCTTCCACTCTCATTTCATTAGCATAGGCCAGGTGTATGCACCGAAACTTCCTTCTTGGAGATAGGGCCGTGCCTAATTTAAAACCTGCAAAATTTCCCAGGATTGGAGCTGGGTGAGAATCTAACAAGCCGTGGCTGTCATCCCACCCCCTCGGGCTTTGGGATGCTATAGGGTTTCCACCAGCAAAGAATCCCAAGAAACTTTCAACCTTCTTTGACTAAACACTGCGCTGTAATGGCTGAAAATGGAAAAGGCCATCTGTTTCTCTCATCTTGCTACGCCTCAGTTTCCCACTTACAAAACATGGGCTTAAAATGATGTCAAGGCTCTGTAGAGGCATTCGTCTCTATAGCTATCCGTGTTCTGGAAGAGCTCGGTACATAGCTGGAAATAGTATACAAATATTTAAATAGATACCATCTGAATGCAAATACTCTTTATTCCAAGGCCAGAGGAAGGAAGGAAAGTGCACAGTTATCAGTAGTACCAGGCTGGTCAAGTAGTTTTGGGGGCAGTGATACATTCTCTGCTGCATATTGCAACATTCAGACAAATGATATCTTAAGAAGGAGCTATTATCATCTTGCAAGAATTCTATAAAAACTTAATAAATAAATCAAATGCTTTACAACGTAAGAAAGTTTTGCAGCTAAGCAAATCATTGCCAAGGTACTGCATGCTGGTTATGCTCCTGTTTGCCTCTATCAATCAGTCATGCAAACGTAAAAAGTAGTATATACAGAGGAACCATAGTTAAAGCAGGTAGGACAGAGCTTAATGTGAGAATGTGTGTTCCTTGGGAAAATAAGCTTGGGTATACTGTGTATTTGTGGCCACTGTACAGTGTACATTGATAACACAGGACTACTGAGTGCAGTGCTTTGCCTTTTTACCTGAGGATATTACTTGATCTTACTGGAAAAGAAAAATGAAGATTGTCATATACATCTCTCACACACACACCCAATAGTAAAGCAAGTTTTGAACACAGGCCTTAACCGTTGCACGTTATTGTCTCTGTCTTTTCTACACCCGTGCCTTTAGAAAGGTCTTCTGAGACCGGTTTTGGTGGTAACCGTCTGCCTTCATGGTGCCTTCTTGACACGATGGTACGTGTGTCTCATGGTCTCCTTTCTAGGACTCAGAGAAACTGCTCCTTACCCATCCATTCTGCCAGCATCACTTTTTTCTTATTCAGTCATAGGGCTGCCATTAGCCGAGCAAGTCAGGTTGGGCTTGCTTGCCATCTCCCTTCCCTCACTCGACTCTGGCCAGTGCTTCCCATTTCATGGGTCAGCTTCTCTTCCAGCACCTTCACTTCCAGTCCTGAGTGGCTCAACAGTCTTTGAAGACTAAGAATAGCCATGCTGCCTCAGAGCAAGCTCCTGTTAAATTTTTTTTTTTTTTTTTAGTTTCCTGCCTCTGCCAGAGGCCAGGAGCAGGCATCTACAGAGCGGTATACAAGGACGGCAGCTCTAGAGCTCTAGCGGTACTTGGTGCGTTCTCCTAACTTTCAGTGGTCTGTGGTTTAACATTTTCTGGAGAGCAAGGTGGCATCTTTTTATGTAATGGCTCTTGGTGGAGTTTTCTGCCACGTAACTGGTGAACTGCACCTGAAGTTTCCGTAAACTTCTGACACAGGCAGCACGTTGTGAAAGGGACTGCCACAGCCCAGCTATAACTGCGTGAGGAAGCATGCCGCTGTCTATTTGTTTTGAGTTGGCTGCAGGATAACTTCCTTTGAAATCCCCCTGATTTCAGGCTGATTCTTATAACACATTCTCCCTCATGTTTGTCCTGTGGTATCAAAACTTAACTCTTTATCTGCTCCCCTGGAAGCCAATGTCTTCTGCAGTCCTCACACCACTGACCTTGCCTTCCCGGTGGTCACTGGGGGCTTCCCCCAAAGGCTCTCTTGCCCCTGCTCTCCCTTTGACGCAAAACAGGGACAGAGCAACACACCTCTCTTCTTTCTTATGAGTGCTCTCAGTATCATTTTTTAATTCAGTCACATCTGCTGTTATTAGCAGAGTCAGGCAGCCTCTCTCCATTAGCCTCCTTCCTCTCCTCTGCTCCTGCTGTGGCTGCGTTTTCCTCATCCTCCTCCCCCTCTGCCCCACAGCACCAGTACCCACCTCTTCCCAATCTTTTCTGCCTCTCAGGTCGAGTCCTCAGCACCTCTCTCAGGTCTCTCCTTCGCTTGTACTACATCAGGTCTACTCAGTCCCCATCCACCTCTATGGCATTGCACCGCATGAGGTTGCATTTCTGAATCCAGCCTTTCCCCATGGCCCATTCTTGTAAATCTCTTCGATAACCCCTCTGGGATACTCCTACACTTCCTTATATTTCACACGGAGAACTGAACTCCCTATTTCCTCCTACACCCTCCTCTTCGTCCTTGGACTCCAGTTCCCTGCAGGCCTCCCTGTCATCCCCAAGTCACAACCCGGGGCTGCCTTCAGGTCCTCCTCTCCCTTCCTCCAGGCTCTCCCAGCATCAGCCCTGGACTTCTCAGGACTCTTACTGGTGTGCCAGGAGTGCCAGCACACGGCAGTCTGAATGTGGGTGGCAGGGGCAGCACTGATGGAGAGCACAGCCTGGGGCTGAGGGCTCTTCCCCCCCAAGTTGAAGGAGAAATCCTTCCCTTTAATTCACTGCAGCTTTCGAAAGTGTAAAGCAGGGGCAAAAGGAAACACTGTGTACCAGGTAGGCGAGTGAGGAGGCCGGGTCCTCCCATGGGCTCCATCACCACCCTGACCCTAGCTGCCACAAGTAAAAGCTTCTCCTACCCTCCGCTGCTGCATCTCCCGCAGCCGCTATCTGGCTATGTTACAACATGCTCCTCTCACGTAGCGTTGGCTGTTTGAAGCAAGTGTCTCGTCTTCACTCAGTGGGACGAGAGGTGGGATGAACGACCCCGGGAGCTGCCTTCCCATCTCACAATGGGTTGGGACAACTCTCAGCATGACAGTCTCCAACTGAGGGCCCTGACTGATGCCCTCCTCCTCCTCCTCCTGCATCCCTTTGACTTTAACTGATCCTAATTAATAATTATAAAATAACCGAAATCCTAATCCTTATTGATTATTTGGTATTTCATACACCAAATGCAGCATGGAAGAACTATAAGGCCAGACAGGGGCCAGCTGGCAGCATTTACCAACCGCTCGCCCCCCCCACGCAGTCTGTGTACGTGTCTACCTGCCTGCCCCAGCAGGACTCTCGAGGCGCCAAAAGGCAGTGCGGGCTGCCAGGACCCTTAATCTATTGAAAAGAGCCCCACCGCTGCTCTCTTTGCCCCACAGCTTCAGTTCAGATTTAGCTAAGAGATGGCTGGGTGAGGAAAAGAAAATGCGGAACCAGCAACGAACTCTCAAGAAAAACGTCGTGATGTGCGAGGAGGGGGACAAGTATCATCTGTGACTTACTCTGTTAATTAAAAATCTATCATGGGTGACAGACTCTAGAAATGCCAGGCAGGGGCCCACATCCCAGTTAGTTAGGCACAGCATAGGTCATTTTTCTGCAGATGCTTAGATCTGGATAAAATTAAATGCCTGGTTGTTACTAGAAGAAAGAAACGCAGAATAAAGTGCAGGGGAGGATCCTCTGCCTGGGAACCCCGCTCTAACTTCAAGGGGGTGGAGGAAGGGCTTTCCAAGTCTTGCTTTGCTCCCAGCT